GTTTGTATTTTTTTTCGACATAAGCCGGACGTGAATCGAAAGCAATAGAAAACAAAGCGATGGAAAATCACCTCGTGGTTTACTGAATCTGCGATTAKGCTTACTGGCTCGTGTGAAGGTAGTCTCTTCTAACAGCCGTGACTTCCGATTTGTCACGAAACAAGCACATTTTAACTGGTCACGCAAAAGATGATAYTGTAAAGKGRATCAGACGGCCTGCAGCTACAATATCATTTTAACGATGAAATAGCATGATATACATGAAAATCAGTGATGTCTATGGTTTCACTTATTTATTTATTTTTATTTTATTTTTTGCTTTTCGACAAGGTGTCGTGCGACGGGGGTGTGACGTAGGTGTTCGCTCAAGTGTAACACCATAAGTTGTGACGCAATAAATAGAAATTCGTAATTCTTAATAGCTCGTTAATAACTTTGAATTAAAAAAGGTTGTATCATGAGGCAGTAAATTTTCAATAAATTCAAACTCTAAATGAGTAAGTAGAAATGTTTCTTATTGTTTTATGATATATGTWTAAATGTCAGTGTGGCGTGACTTTCAAAACTGGACCGCAAAACCTGTTTGCCTTGTTTTGCCTGGTGGCAAATTTTTTAGTTTTTCGTGTGTTCGACGCAAAAAGTAACTTAGATATTCTTCTGTACAAATTGAGGACTGTGACTTCTGATTTTAAAAAGTACAGTAGCTAAACTGAACAGCATAACTATGACTCCTCCACCTAGATTTCAGGTATGATCGAATTACTTCGTCGTTCTTCGTAATGGTTCACTTTCGTAGGTAAACATTGCAGTTTATGCGTTCATCACATGACTTGATAAATGTCAAGTTTAAAATCTCTGAAGCTTTYTGGCTCAAATGACAAAACATTTCTTTTTTCATTTTCATTCTGTGTACCCTGGTTCCAGAGGTTTCTCTGTGTTATTCTCTGTGAAAATCATTTTCACAGAGAATAACACAGAGAAACCTCTGGAACCAGGGTACACTCTATGCGGTCAAATCGTCGTATTCTTGCTCGTATTCTTTTTTTTTGCGTTCTTTGCATTTTAACAACGGGCGTACGTCCACGCACAAGTTTGAGTCCGATAAAATTACAATTAGTTTATATTTACTCTTAACATTGGGACTTTGAAATCTTGATGATTGCATCGTCTTTATGATATGATAAGTAATGTCGAGGGAACTGGACGTGCAATGACAAAATACACATGCTTGTAATAAGCTTAACATTTTTATATAAGCTTAAAACTTCCTTTTCTTTAGGTTGAAATGTGTGATCCATCAGAAGTTTATCGTCCAGAGGATAAGTTTGATGAATATAAAAATGCTAAACTGAAAAATTCAAGAACAGACAAAAACGAAGAGGATTTCAGAAGTTATGATGACAACCTTCAAACGCAAATGGTAGTTCAGACGTATACTCTCATGCACACATATCAGACCATGGAGTTCGCGCGCTCGAAGGTAGGCTATTATTTTATGCTCTATCAATCCTTCTCAAGGACACTAGTGAATAATAGGTTTCAAATAAGCGGGAGAAGAAACCACAAAATGTTCGATTTCCGTGGTTCTGTCATAAATAATGTTAGCGTGACGTCGTGTAAAATTTGGAGCTGGGAACTTGGACACTGGACAGCAACATTTTACTCACAAATAGGTTAGACCAAGGGCGCTAGAACTGAAATTATGACCTATAAGATCCAAAAATTGCTTAATTTATTATCCAACATAAGTTAGTCGATAATAAATTGTAAAGTTTTACTTATCTGAAATATACACTGAAATGTCCTCTTAGACACTAAAAAGCACTTGATTTTACAAAATTCATCCAAATGATCGTTACTCAAGCGGTTGTTGCTGAATTTATTACCGCTGTCCTTGTTGTACCAGCCACTGCTGTCTCGCCAGGAACGTTATTCATTAACCGGATTAAAATCACTTTGCCYTGGCCGAACACCAAAAGAGACAGGGGCAGGCAATAACYRGCGGCYCCTTTGACCACTCGTCTGACTCACTAATCGGATTAAGTTGACAGGACCTAGGGACACTGATGACAGATTAGTTCTGGCCGAGCGAGGCTTCGTAGGCCCGAAATAGTAAATACGCTACCGTCGCGATGTTATATAACTCGTCGGGTTTCGAATCGAAAGTCATCTAAAAGTTCAGCGAAGCGCTCGTCAATAATTTTTGTTACTATGTGAGTGTGTTGAATTCGTGTTTAAAAACATTGAATTGAGAAATAGAAACAGTACATTTTAAAGCTTGTTAGTGTCAGTCGCATAAACTTGTTTGTGAACGGTGCTTTATGGCTAACATTTAGCTTTCATTTCGGTTTCTTCCAAATGGACTTAAACTTAAATTTTGGCCAGACACTTTGTCCATTTAAATGGCGATAGTTTTGACCATCCTCAAGACGAGAGCGTTTTAGTTCAAATCCCGACCTCTGACGAGGTCAAATTCGGCCTACGAAGCCTCGCTCGGCCAGAACTAATCTGTCATCAGTGTCCCTAGGTCCTGTCAACTTAATCCGATTAGTGAGTCAGACGAGTGGTCAAAGGGGCCGCTAGTTATTGCCTGTAAAGTAAAACTTTACAATTTATTATCGACTAACTTATGTTGGATAATAAATTAAGCAATTTTTGGATCTTATAGGTCATAATTTCAGTTCTAGCCCCCTTGGTTAGACTATTAAAAGGAAATATAAAAACAAACTGAATAAATAAAATGTAAATAATAATAAATATGCATCAGAAAAGGTGAACTACATGGATGCGTAGCTAAGTTACATTATTTTGTTCAAGGCACTAAATTAAGCCTGCACACATCATAGGAAAGTGTATAAACTAAATTCCATGCAAGTTGCTTTGATCAGCATTTTGCTCTCTACGAACCACAAAAATGGTGTGCACACACTGATGAAAGCAATTCACGACATTTCGCTCGTGCCGTATGCGGTGGACTTAACATTAACAGTTCGCACTAAAGGTGAATAGTTTTAGTTCATGACACAAACTTTTGGTTGAAGAAAAGAGATGCAGGATAGAAACACAACCTCAGCAAATTATATTGTTTTAATTCTTATTTTATAATAATAGATCTGCTTAGCCTCCTCCACAGGCATCTCTCTCATACTCTCTCTCTCTCTCTGGAAGTCTGTGAACAAAGCCCAACCACTCGTAGCTCATGTAGAGTTGCTTGCGGAGGAGGCTAGATCTGCTTGATCAAGCATCAGTTTGGACAATAGCTTCTTCCTAAGCCAAGGGTTCCACTGCACTATTGTACATTTGAGACAGATTTTAAAATGTTGTATCATTACGTTTTTCTCTCCCAGATTCAGCAATATGAAAAGCTTGACAAAACTACCATGAGTATAATGGATGCTGTTTTCATGCTAAATGCACTTGTTGACGAAAGCGATCCTGACACAGACCTTCCTAACTCCTTACATGCATTTCAAACTGCTGAGAGAATTCGCAAAGACCATCCAGNGACAAAATACACATGCTTGTAATAAGCTTAACATTTTTATATAAGCTTAAAACTTCCTTTTCTTTAGGTTGAAATGTGTGATCCATCAGAAGTTTATCGTCCAGAGGATAAGTTTGATGAATATAATAATGCTAAACTGAAAAATTCAAGAACAAACAAAAACGAAGAGGATTTCAGAAGTTATGATGACAACCTTCAAACGCAAATGGTAGTTCAGACGTACACTCTCATGCACACATATCAGACCATGGAGTTCGCGCGTTCCAAGGTAGGCTTTTATTTTATGCTTTGTGATTCTGTCAATCTTTCTCAAGGACACTAGTGAACTGGTTTAACATAAGCGGGAAGAAAAAATTTTCGATTTCCGTGGTCATAAATAATGTTAGCGTGACGTAGTGTAAAATTTAGAACTTGGAACTTGGACACTGGACAGCAACATTTTACTCACTGAATAGGTTAAACTAAGGAAATATAAAACAAACTGAATAAATATCATGTAAATAATAATAAATATTCATAGATAAATAAATAGCCAAATGAATTTGTAGCTGATTGTGAACAGTACATGCTCAATACACATAGCTAGTATACTGTATTGAGAAAAACAATCATACAATGGGTAAACTACAAGGATTCGTTTTTTTCCTTGGGATTCGTGTTTCCTTGGGATTCGTGTTTCCTTGGGATTCGTGTTTCCTTGTAGTTTATCATTGCAGGGGGTCTTTTGATGGCCAGTATTGGTAAACCGTTCATAGCTAAGTTGGCTTGAACAGTTTCCAATGGAAGTTTGTTCCAGACACACTTAAAGCCCACACACAATGTAGGAAATTGCATGAGCTAAATTCCATTCAAGCTGATTTGATCAGCATTTTGCTCACTGTGAACAGCTGCAATGCTGCAATAGGGTCACAGCAATGTGCAAGAATGTATATTTGGGGACAGGTTTAACTCATTCACTAAATATCAGTGAATTTTGTATATTGTTTTTCTCTCCCAGATTCAGCAATATGAAAAGCTTGACAAAACTACCATGAGTATAATGGATGCTGTTTTCATGCTAAATGCACTTGTTGACGAAAGCGATCCTGACACAGACCTTCCTAACTCCTTACATGCATTTCAAACTGCTGAGAGAATTCGCAAAGACCATCCAGRCAAGGATTGGTTTCATTTTGTTGGACTTGTCCATGATCTTGGTAAAGTCCTGGCTTTATGGGATGAGCCACAGTGGAGTGTTGTRGGRGATACTTTTCCTCTAGGATGTGCATTTTCCAGGAAGATTGTGTTTCCAGATACATTTGTGAACAACCCTGACTATACCAATTCTGATTACAGGTAAATTATGCTATTCTCTTAATTGATGTACYGCATCTAATACCCTAGCCTACATGTATTCTGTTAAACTGACTAGCTTACTACGCATGATAATCCATAGTTTGTCACGAGATAAGTTGTGATACATACAAAATCACTTGTATTTTGTGAATTGTGTTATTTTTCCCTTTGTGCAAATTCTGCATTCACTGGTWGGTGAAAATTCCCCTATTACATGTAACTGTTTGTTTATTTTGTAGTTCCAAATATGGTGTATATAGTCCTGACTGTGGCCTTGACAAAGTTACAATGTCATGGGGCCATGATGGTGGGCAATTGTAGTGTTTTACCTAGCATCCTCCAYAGGCATCACTGGCTTCCTGTCTTTTTSCTGGGACCAAGAAGAGGGAGAATGGGAGCATGAGAGGGAGAGGCATGATGCCAACTCCTCCTTTTCCTTTTCTTATTTTCCTTTCTTGTCACTAGTCCCAAAGGGTCAAAATGACCATTACAAAGGAAGCCCAAAGGAGGAAAAGAGAGTTGCCAAGGGAGGATGCTATGTTTTACCAAATTACATATTTTTTATAGCAGTTGACCACCAGTATTATGTCTTTTCCTTGTCACCCTGACCACCTCAAGAACTTATTTTATTTTTCTATTCACTTACATGAATTAGTATCCATCTAAAATTGTCCTCTTTTCATTCCCTCATTTCTTTTCCCATTTCTTTACTATTTTATTAACTTTGAAAAGTGTTGTGTGTGCAATTACATTGAACAATATTTCAAAGTTGAATTGACGTAAAAATAGTTTGTACTAGACACAGCTATAAGTAATGTCAGGAAGTTTTATTATATCAATTCATATTCTATTAATGCATGATTTTATGATATGACTCGTCCCTGCAAGGCCAGATGTGGTCTTCTTGCTGGTCCCACACTCCAAATAAAAAGTTTCAAAGAAATGCTGCTATTGGGTCACTTGCTTTGGATGTTTTAGCTCGTTTTATTTTTTTGTTTTTAATTGGGTTGTATGATAGATTACTAAATTGGCAGAGTTTGGTCTGGCCATACTGATAAATATTCAGCACTTGGTTATGACTTGTGCAGAACTAGTACCGTCAGCTTGATCCAAATATTTTCCCCAATGGCCCTTCCACTCAGGCAATAAGTACTTAATATAAATGATTTAAAATACATTTCTCTATTTTCAGAATACATGTATCGCGTGCTCAAAGGAAATAACTGTACTATTCCAGAAGAGGTGGGGTCCTTATAATCACAAAAGTTTGTAATCAAATTACATGGCAAAATTATCTTCAGTTGGTAAATTTTAAAGCATATTAGAATGGAGAATATATGTGGATGAAATCGACCRCCGCTTATGGGTTATTGTTTTGGTATATCAGTGCTTGATAAAATCTACCTACATTTACGGTAATCCATGACAATTTGTTAATATGATCATTTCATTTTTGGACTCATTTTGACTTCAGGGTATGTACATGATCCGATTCCACTCGTTCTACCCCTGGCATTCAGGTGGAGACTACAACTACCTTTGTAATGACAAAGACAGAGAGATGTTGCCATGGGTGATTGAGTTTAAGTAAGTTTATCTTTATAGTATAGAAAATTGTAAAGTGTAAAACTATTCTTGAAAATGCCAATTGCATAACAGTGCATATTGTAATAATATGTGTGTACATCGCTTGCTTGTAACTTCCATTTTGTTTATGGAATAAAATGTTTCTCTTTGATATTAATTTGATTGTGTTTTGTCCATAGTAAATAYGATTTGTACTCCAAATCAGATGCTATTCCTGATGTGGATAGCCTGCGGCCTTACTACCAAAGCTTGATTGACAAGTATTGTCCAGGACAACTAAAATGGTACCTAACTGCTTCCTCCTTTGAACTTCTGCCCTTCTGAGGGAGGGTCAGACATATTTTGTATTGATCCCTGCATTATTATTTTTTCAGGTAACCAATAGTAGAAGATCAAGAACTAGTCATTCATGACTCTAATAATATTAATAATCATTAGTGTTTATTACTTTGCTATCACTGTACTAAAATATCATAGTTCCCTAGTCAGAATCTTCCCTTATAGGTTTCTCAACTTATGGTCGGGTTGTGCCTAGCTCAATTCATGATAAACTCGTCAAACAACACAACTYTCTTTACCATTTGAAGACTCCTATTCATTACAAGAAAAGTAATGTTAAAATACAATCGGCTAGCTTAATAATAATATAGAAAAAGAAACTTACAGTAGGTCCACCTTGGGAAATTTATACAAGTAAAACATTGAGTAAATCATATTTTTTAATAATGTACTAATTAATGTAAAACATTTGGTAAATAATTTAGATGACAACAAAAAGGTATGTATTATAACTAAATATAGTGTTTTCAATGGCAGTCATTTTGATATTACTTGTAGTTGAGAATGTTTTCATTTCACAATTTTTTGCTCTTATAAATTGTAATATTTTCACAATTGGAAAGAAACATACTGCATGCAGTAAAAAATGTAAACATATATGCCCTTTATAGTACAGTATATGCCCTTTATAGTACAGTGTTTCATATTGTAGAGCAATATGGGAATTCTATTAAAAATAACATTTTATACAATATAATTATTAGAGAACCCTTAGCAGAATGATAATGATAATCATCATCATCGCTATCATATATATATATAATTATATCAAATAATAAACTAAGCTAATTATTTCAACAATGTAAAGCTACAGTATGAAGGTTTTGTAAGAATTTGTATAAGTTTACAAACTATTGCTTTTATACAGTTTGCACTCTAAACATAAGAATATACAGATTAGTGCAATGATTTTCAAAAACCTGTGAAACAGTCAACTGTAGTCTAAAGTCTACAGTACCCTGAAAGTAGAATGCCATTTCACCTCCTCCATAAATAGTGAAAGAAGGAACACTAAAAGATCATTCTGCTTGCAGCGTACGTTTTAATAGTCAAAATCATAATAATTTGTGATGACAAATTAAATGACAAAGAAAAACGTTTAAAATGAAGAGTAACAAAGTGTAGTGTATTACTGTATAATATATTTTTCACAAGTTTATGAAAACCCCYCTTTATCTTATATGTTTATATAATACTAAATGTCTTTCATTTCACCCAATTAATTTATGACATGAATAGTTGTAGTAATAAAAGTATTGATTGGAAGAAACTAGGAATTCTAAAGCAATTTAAGTGATTACATGTAAGTTTAAGCACTCTTACTTGTATTGTATATATTATTTCAAACTTTTTTTGTGATAAAAAAAAAAAATAAAAAAGCCTGAAAATGTCTGATTGTCATTTAATCTGAATCCAAGGGTTGCATTGCAAGCTACATACTAGTTAATTAATGAATTGACATAAAATAATATTTAAAATATGTACAGTCATGTATTGTTATAATAATATATAATCATTCATGAGGAAAGCAGTAAAATGTAACTCTCATCAGCAATTGCGCTTGATTGCATTTTTAACTTTTTKCTTTCTAAACTGCTTAATAATACAAAAGTCTACCAGGTGGCTTGACATGAACTGTACAGCTGTACATGTTTCTAGTATGCACATGGGAATGTATTGGTCACCGTGTAAATTATTCAGGGTCCGTGCAGGTCCTTAAATCCTTGAAAAGTGATTGAATTGAAAACTCATTTTCAAGGGCACTTGAAACTCCTTGAAAATTTGAAAATTTCGAAAAAGTCCTTGAAAACTCCTTGAAAAAGATGGATCTCTCTCTAGTGATCTCTGACTTATTCTGTTCGGCTGAAGTTTTGAGGTAAGAATGTACAATTAGCATGATTTTGATGCTCCGTGAAAATACAATATTGGTCCTGGAAAAGTCGTGGAAAAGTCCTTAAATTTCGTTTTTGATACTCTGCACTGACCCTGATTATTATATGAAACATTAAACTGCAGMATGAGACCATGTTCTGATGAATCATTTTTAATTATAATTGATACTCTTTATTCAATCAATAGYCGTAAGCATTTTAGCATTAAATTATTAAATGCCTTATAATGATACATGAATTATAATTGATATTTTACAATGAGAATCTCACTGCAYATGTCTTATACACCATGTAATATACTTTAATTTGTAGAAAAATTGTATTAATCTTAGAAGCACCATCTAAAATGATCCATACAAAGATGCAGACTTATTTACAAACACTATTTCTCACTAAGTATACATTTGAATTACAAATAGCATTCCCAAATACTTCCATCATTTTGTTTGTCGCTTAAACTCAATCCGTCTAATTATCTAACATCAGCCATTATTGACTCACTTCATGCCTTTTCTCAAAACAACTGAAATTAAAACAAGTTGTTTTAGGAAAAAGTTATTGTAGTTGTGATGGGGAAAAATAATATAAAAGGATTTTCACTTACTGGTCCTTGGAGATCTTGTGATGTCCATGAAGCAGCATCTTCATCCTGTTRGTAAAGATGACATCAAAAATTACAAAATTCCATCTTCTTACAATTTTCAACTACCATTTCATTTCCATTTCATTTACCTATTTTCTGATTTCATGCTACATGGCAAACTGGGTACAAGTCCCTTTTAAGGTCAATCAGAAATTTTTTTCCAAGAGAGGTGAAGACCTACATGTACCCTTTAATTGTCATGTTGGTGAAATATGGCTCATAAAAAAAAGTTAAAACGTTTTTTTTTACAGCAGAAACCGTTCCATCGCAACTTCAATGTTCAAAGGAAATAGTTGGGATTTAGGTTTTTCTGCGACTTGGGGGCGGAGCTTGRTACTAATCAGCCAATGATTGAACGAGTTTTCGAAAAGCTCCGCCCCTCAGATTGAAAGAAAGAACAAAATCCAGACAAACTTTAAAACAAAGAGGTCGCGATGCAACGATTTCTGCTGTAATACCTCCCTCCAAGCAAATCAGTCATTTCTTCCCTTCAAGCCAATTAAATTTCTCTTTTCTAACCATAATTAAAGTATAGAAATCTCTTCAATAAAGCAGTACACTGATTACTTCATTGTTTCAACTGATGATACTAAATTATGTGGTCATACTTACCTCTTCAAGGCTTATAACATCAGCATTATTAGCATCAAGGGCATCATCATCACTGTCCAAGTCTACAGATTCATTCCTTTTCTCAACATTTTGAATTCCCTCAATAGCTTTACTGTATCCTGGATTTAGACTGGAAAGAGAAGATGCATGTTATGTTCGCTAAATAAAACTACCGTTAGTAGAATGTGATTATTATTCATGCTTGATAATAAGTGCTTTTCATTGAATGGATGAATGTCATTCAGTTTAAGTCAGTCACAATCATCACAGAATCAACAGTGACTRCAATTCATAAACTTTTCAAAACTACATTTGAAATAACAGACCTGAGTGATTTGGTATACTGATCTAATGCTTCCTGGTATTCATTGGTAGCAGCCAGAAAATCTCCTAATAACTGATGGAGTCTTGCTGTCCGATGGTTTATAAGATGTTTCCTCAATCTAAATACAATTATAGATTATACAAATATAACAGTGATAAGTTGTAGTTAACAAAACATCATCATATTAGGTTTCTACTAAGATAAGATTTAACTTATTTTTCAAAAGTCTACTTGCATATCAATAGCTTTGTTGTACTCTTGTTTTTTCCCATGTACTTCAGCAAGAAGGCAWACTGCATCAGTGGATGAAGGATCTAAATTTAAAGCCTTTTCTAGCATTGTTTTGGCCTGAAATACAATGGAAACTGTTAGAAGTTGCTTTTAGGTTCTTGTTTTTTGGATTTRATTGCTTCCCAGTTCAAAACAACTATCTTCCATTGCAGCACTCTTGTCTTTCTGGTTGTACATGTATACATGCAGTGATATTATATCATTTATCAAAATGCAATATTAAATCAAATAATACTCTAGAAGTATTAAACATCTTTACAAAAATGAACTAATTATTCTGATTAACTTACTTTATCATTGTTTGATGATTCATGCATCATCACAGTGGCACAAAGCTATAACAAAATAAAATATTAATAAGAAAATGATGAATTTCCTCTAATTATGGTGATAATGACTTGATAATGAAATAAAATAATTATGTCTTCTTTACACTGCTCTGAATAGTGATGCTATCACTCTATCATCACATTATATTGTTAATGAGAAAGAAAAATCATGCTACAACTTGTTAATATGTGAAGATTAAGGAATGAACAGTTTTTTACAGCATTTCCTACTAAATAAAAATAATAACAAAATACAATTACCGTCAATGTCCTTGCAGTTGCTCCAAGTGTCTTGTGTGCATTCTTAGCAGCTGCCATAGCATCTCTGTACCTATCAGCAGCCATGTAACACTCCACCAAACCTACAAACAAACCTTCTTTACTACAAAACTACTGTGCAAGACAAAATATGGTATCTATCAGCAACCATCTAACACTCCAGCAAACCTACAAACAAACCTTCTTTACTACAAAACTACTGTGCAAGACAAAATATGGTATCTATCAGCAACCATCTAACACTCCAGCAAACCTACAAACAAACCTTCTTTACTACAAAACTACTGTGCAAGACAAAATATGGTATCTAT